TATATATATATATATAATATGTCTTAAATACTAATATCGGGGAAGGGGTAGTACAAGATACAATGTGAGTTTGAAGCACAAAGTAGGAAACTATGAGGATGAAATTAGGTACGTTTTGGTTTTACTTTTGAACAGGATATGGGTTGGTCAATTGTTTAATCCATCAGGGAGTGAGTTCCAAAGACTGGAACCTATCGAATAGATATATGTAAGACGTTACTTTTCATAGCAGGTTGCATTTGCAATGTTGGTTACCATAACGTAAAAAAACGCGACCTAATACTTGAGAGGATGGTTTGTTAGTCCGTCCAACAGAACATTAGCAACAAACACAGTGAACATACAATGTCGGCGTCCCAGTTTATGATTATTACGACATATCGAGATTCATAACTCCCAATTTTCAGCTTGGTCACAGTTAACCATATCTAGAGCAGCAGGTGATGCAAGCTCCCAGAGGTACTTGTACCCGAGACTAAACCCACCAGCCACTCTCCTCACTTTCTGCCATGACTCAGACATGTACTCACCTAGTGGTGTTTGTGGGGGTTGAGCTCTGGCTCTTTGGTCCATGTGTGGGGGGAAGGGAACTATGAGGAGAAAGCGCCAAGCCATGACGACTACATAGCACTTGTGATGAGGATTTGGGATGGGACGGAGGAAAGGAATGGTGCCCAACCACTTGGACGGTCGGGAATTGAGCACCGACCTGCATGAAGCGAGCCCGCCGCTCTACCGTCCAGCCCAAGTGGTTGGGTAGATATGTGTGGGTTTTCTTGTATGGCGATATATGTAATAACTATCGAAGATTTCACATTTTCTCATTGTTTCCATGTTGGTGAAGTTCTCGGGGTAGCTATCGCTATTGTCTGGTTGTATGTAGGGGTGATTAAAGCATGTGCGCTCAAGGGAAGATGATTATAACCTAGGTTTACAGTCAGCTCAGTATATATGTTACAGCGTCATCACCACATCTTCAAATATTTTGTGTAACTTTCTGTAGTGGAGCGGTATTGGCGAGTTCTCCCCCATTACCCTCACGTGGTGTACTGGTCACTCCCCCATTACCCTCACGTGTTGTACTGGTCACTCCCCCATTACCCTCACGTGGTGTACTGGTCACTCCCCCATTACCCTCACGTGGTGTACTGGTCACTCCCCCATTACCCTCACGTGGTGTACTGGTCACTCCCCCATTACCCTCGTGTGGTGTACTGGTCACTCCCCCATTACCCTCACGTGGTGTACTGGTCACTCCCCCATTACCCTCACGTGGTGTACTGGTCACTCCCCCATTACCCTCACGTGGTGTACTGGTCACTCCCCCATTACCCTCACGTGGTGTACTGGTCACTCCCCCATTACCCTCACGTGGTGTACTGGTCACTCCCCCATCACTATTATGGGTTTCCAAAGTAGTGGGGCAAGAAGCCGTATAGGTTTAGATCAACGTCTCACTCCCCCCCCCCCCCCGCAAGTCCATCTACTTTTTTTTTTTTTTTTTTTTTTTTTTTTTTGAGATATATACAAGAGTTGTTACATTCTTGTACAGCCAGCATCCTTGTATCCAACTGACCTTGCTCAAGATACGTCCCACGACAGTTGCTGACTCCCAGGTACTTATTTACGTCTCTAGAAGTGATATTCACGTTAAATCTGCAGGCTTTACCATTTAAGACAGTCACATAGGTGAATGACATCAGCAGTGTTGTATCCAGCTGTATCTACTGTGTAGATGCTGGGTCGTTACCTCCCATTGAATGGATTGTAAGTTTTATATAGCAATAATGAGCGTTATTCATATCGGCCTTCGTATAGTCCTATTATTTTGTTGGGTGAATAGTGGGAGAGTGGAGACGCGGGAGTCCCTGAAGCTTATCGCCAGGCGTCGCTTCCCACCTACTTCAAGTACAGCTAAAATGACTCACAGTGAGACCCCGACAATGCTCGCCTTACACAAGTATGAGACAGAGTACCCGGCATTACTCGGGTAACGGACGCCACATCTTCACCCATGCTATCCTCATCCTTGTAACTATCTTCAAAACCCGGGCACAGCTGGGTAGCTCATCTACATGCAACCATCATCACCACTATCACCTTCCCTACCTTTCACCACCTTCTCTACCCCCTCACCACCTTCCTTAGCCTTCTTCCCCGTACCTTAGTCTTCACTGCCTTCCCTACCTTTCACCACCTTCCTTAACCTTCTTTCCCTACCTTAGTCTTCACTACCTTCCCTACCTCTCACCACTTTCCTTAACCTTCTCCCCCCTACCTTAAGTCTTCACTGCCTTAACTACCACCTTCCTTAGCCTTCTCCCCTACCTTAGTCTTCAAAACAAATATTGAAAATGCACTGTAAATGTTGTGGCCACGTCTGTGGTAGAAAATAATAATAATAATAATAATAATAATAATAATAATAATAATAATAATAATAATAATAATAATAAACCTTCCCTACTCCTCACTTTCCTTAACCTTCTCCCCTTACCCTACTCTTCACTGTCTTCCATACCCTTTCAGACTTCATGAAAATTGAATGGGTTGCTATTGGATCCGATATTTCCTAAAGGGAGGTACTGGGGTCATTCCATTGCCTCTCCTATACCCCAACTCACCATAACCATGGAGTCACAGGTCACTTCCTCCAATACCTTCAGTCTTACCTTAGTGATAGGCTCCAGTATGTATCTGTGAATGATTCCAATTCTCTCACCCTACCCATCAATATTGGTGTTCCACAGGGCAGTATACTTGGCCCTCTCCTCTTTCTCATCAACATTAATGACTTTCCAAATGCCGCTCAACACCTCAAGCCAATTTTATTTGCTGATGACACAACCTTCATTTTCTCCAGTTCTAACCCTCTAATGACTGGACGGTGGTTAGGTTCTTTAAACGATATTTTATTCATTTGGTTATTAAAACAACGGATAAAGTATGTCTTAATATGTTTAATCTGTAATTCATGTGTTTAAATTTAGAACTGAAACCAAGTATAGAATTTATAAGAGCAATCAGACAATCAGGTGATGTTACCATAATGGTTACTTAAGGCTGACCTATCCGGCGGTGCCCAGCAGTGTCTCCCCCCCCCCAACTCGCCATTCCACCTCTCTTCTTTTTTCCTCTCCTCATGTCCGCCCCTATTTACTCCCCCCCCTCTCTCTCCCGTTTTCCCTCTCATTCCAACGTCGAATAAACAGACGTTTCCATTTATTTATATTACAGGGGTACCCGGATCTCTTTCCCTCTTCCCTACTCTTAACCCCATCTCTTCCTTGATCATCCCCTAGTCCCCATTCCCCCAGTTCTCTCTTCATCCCTCCCCCTGCTTCTCTCTCCAATGACTAAAACAACTGTATCAGATTTTTTTCATTTTCTGTAATAAGTCCAAGGAAATCACATGATATTTTCTTTACACTTGGCCCACCGAAAATGGCATGGGGAAGGGGCGTTCTTTATAATTGTCAATATTTCTTAAAACATTAAATTTTTGCCTACGCCGATCAGTCTATGTCCTTCTTATACCCCAGACAAATACCCTTGCAAATGTGGGTATATCTTGAGGTTATCTTGAGATGATTTCGGGGCTTTTTAGTGTCCCCGCGGCCCGGTCCTCGACCAGGCCTCCACCCCAGGAAGCAGCCCGTGACAGCTGACTAACACCCAGGTACCTAATTTACTGCTGGGTAAGGGTAGCCCCACGCATCTGCTGGCCTCCAACAATGTTCAGACAAACAGACATTGTAGGGTGAAGGAGGAGCACATCTTGCAAAAAGGGTGTGTGCGGGTGATTCACCCAGTGGAGGCCATTTGGTTTGGTTAGGTGTTGGACCTATAAGGACTATCAACCTTTGCATGGCTAGTCAAGGCCCACCACTATTGCTTACCGAACACCCAGCAAGCATACTTTAGTCCTCAATATAATCCAGGAGTAAAGTACTTTGTGTATATACACCGAGAAGCGGGGTACACGAAGGGCCTGTAAGTAGGCCGTCAGGTCCGGCCCTTTCCAGAGAGATTCCAGAGTTTTACTGTATCAAAACTGCCTTACCTTCCCAGAAAGGTCCTGCGATATTCACCAACATAGACCCAAGTGTAGCTAGTCTGAAATATACTGTATATAACGCCAATGTGGTTATTCTTTAGTCTATTTTAACAGGTAATTCAATGCTGGCGTCGTCTCGCAATGTGTTCAAATGATATCGAAGCTTATTTACGAAAGTGTAAATGCTCTTCCATATAATAGCTTATTTTGGCCTTCAGAAGCAACTTTGAATTATTCTCCTATTTACGTTCTTACAAATACGAGTGTATGATATTTAAGGTTTAACGTTGAGGGCGTCTATATATAGTGGGGATGTCTATTCTAAGTTCTTCAACTTCCGGGGTTATTAGCCCCAATATCTGTCATCGAGAGATTCTTATACAGAAATGACGTCGCGTCCAATAGGTTGTAATGCATTTGAATTGGCTTCTATAAATCGCATTGAAATGTGTCTGCAGCTAGGATGAAAGGAGTCTATGTAAACAATTTCTCTATTGGAAAAAGTGCATGTTTCTTGTTAAATCAATGTTGAGAACCAGTTAAATTGGTTACAAGAGTAGAAGGGTGGCTATCGTACCTGTTGATATACATAATACTAAACTCGAGGAAGGTGAGAACAAGGTCGGTAAGAGTGTCTTCATTCAGGAGAATAATGTCCATATTAAAGCGTGGCGACTGGTGGCAGAGCCGCCCGGCCAATGTTGATGTCGTCTTTGACGTAAGCAAAGTCCACAGAACACGGTAGTGAGCCTGGCCACCAAGTACGCTTGGATGCTACTTGTGTACACTTGAGTTGCTCATTGTTCAGACTCAAATCCTTCAACGTTGTCAGTAATAATGATATTTTGTCAGTAGTGGCTGGCCTCTGAGATGGCTGTGTTCCTTATGTCCAGCTGATGCTCGCAACACTATGGGTTCACAGTAAGGAGGATAAAAGGTGAGTTGAGGTCTTCCCGCACCCTGCCTCGCTCCCTCCCTGCCTCGCTCCCTCCCTGCCTCGCTCCCTCCCTGCCTCGCTCCCTCCCTGCTTTGCACCCACCAGCATTTTGGTTGGGGTTAATCGTATCGACCAGCAGCACCGGACGAAGTGTGACTAGTTTACACTGCACTTCAGCTAAAGTAATAGTGAGGTTTTTGCCGGGTTCAGTGATGTAATGTGGTCACGTCTTGTAAAGGAACAGTTATAGTGTAATAGTGACGGCTATTGTGTAGTAGTGACGTACGTCGCACGTAATTCCACCAACAAGCCACGAGGATTTATGGATCAGTCTCCCGTGTTACTGCACATGGTGTCTGGACGAGTCGTCCCAGTTGCCTCAGGCTCTACACAGGCGCTAGGTTAGATCCACCTTCTCCAGGTTAAGTTGGACTAGTCACGTTTTAATGAAGCAAATGAGTTGGGAAAGAGTGCCACATCCCACAAGACCTTCGTGTTACCCATATGTTGTCCTGCATTTGCTAGATTAGTTACACTAGGTTAAGGGTGTAGAGCCATGTTTACTCTTGAAAAGGCTTTATGTTATATTGCTATTTCACCTATATAACATAAATTAAGTTCCATGTAGCTATCCACCCAAAAAGAATGCTTGTTAATATATATTTTTATATATAATCATAGTTATATATATATATATTATAAAGGTTGCATTCCCCTAATTTGTGCTTATATCGTTAAGGATCTAGCTTATAACGCCCCCCTTTTTGCTACTTTTTGTAAACAGTTTCAGAAAGAGATATGAATATAAAATTGAGCATTAATATACTATTAGATTGCATTGGTCAAGGTTAGGTGAACTTTTCTTGACGCTATTGCAGTATAGAGCCATCAAATTTCTCAATTGTAACTGGTTTCTTTACTCCAAAAGATGAGCATAACCTTGTGGAAATTTGATATATGATGAATTAAGTGTTTAACACTACATGTTGATTTAACATTTCAATATTTAAAACAAAGAAAGCTTAAGAAAGACTATTAACTGTATAAATCTACAAGGGCCGTGACGAGGATTCGAATCTACGTCCGAGATCATCCCAGATGCTGCCTTTATCGACTTGAGCTACGACATGGTCAAAAGAGTTGAAACCGGAGTTCTACTGAACTTACTGGATCCTGCAGCCTCTCTGAGACACAAACCAGGGTTTTACACAACTCCCCCATGCACTCGAGCTATGTCAATAGGCCGTTCTCCCTCTACATAAGTTCAGTAGAACTTTAGTTTCAACTCTTTTTGACTATGTTGTAGCTCAGTCGATAAAGGCAGTGTCTGGGATGATCTCGAACGTAGGTTCGAATCCTCGTCACAGCCCTTGTGGATTTGTTCATTTGATGCATCATGCTATTGTGATTTGTGTGTGTACTATTAACTGTAATTAATGTTTTAGAAGTGCTTCAGATCCATTCCTTGATATATGTAGTATGCCTATTCTGTTTTTTGAGGAATATTTCTTTATAAAACTCAAGTTACTGTGGTATACAAAGGCACAGACAGTAGGTATTTAAAAGGCTTTTGAAAGTTTGTGGAGGATTAATACAATATAAATTTTTTGTCACACAGATTAACAGCTATAATGTCTCGAATTATTTGGTTGGCAAGTTTTGCCACCATGCTTCTGGGTGTGGTGGTGGCAGATTTTAATCTGATAGATGTAGAACCTGTCATGAAGAAAGAGCAACCAGATTTTGAGGTGAGAAACTCATGTTGGTACTATTCCTTTGTTATTGATCTTGTATTGCAGACATTAAGTATTGCACACACTTTAAATCATTGTGTAAGGTGACTTGCATGCTGTTTTATTTTGTGTATTCTGTACAATTATTATATTTTATAGTACTACTTGATGGGGTACCCGATAATTCTTGGAACAATTCCAAAATGTTGCGCCATTCAAGTGTTGTGAGTTCTCAGAATACAGATCTGTCATTAGAACATGCATTTTGCATGTCAGTACAGTACTAGTATAGTACTGAATATTATGAACAGTTGATAAAATTATGGACTTGGCATCAAACAATTCTTCTTCATTGATTGCTTAATTCATTACAATAATAATTTTATTTTGTCGGGGACAGGCAACATGTGTGTGTGTGTATGAGGGGGGGGGGAGACCTCAGTCCTTAATGAGAATAGGAAGCCAGTTGCTTATCAAAGGTCCCTCCATTTGTCTTAATGATTTTTTTCCAGCTGGATTTTAAGGTTCAACAGAGTTTTGACATTTATAGCTTTGGCAGGTAAGGAATTCCATGGTTTTATAACCATGTGGGTGAAAAAAATCATCTGTTTTCAGTCCTACATTGTAGCTTGTTGAGCTTGAGACCATTGCTCCTTGTTTGTGTTACATCTGGCCTTTTGAAGAAGTTGTTTGGATCAACGTCCTTCTGGACGTTATCTGGAATCTTGGAGGTGTTTATCCAGTTTCATCTTAAATACTATTTAAGATCTCTCGGAAATTCTTTTTATATGTAGAGGAATAATAATGTAAAGCCTTGGGACCTGTAATGTTTATAGAATTGTCTTGGTTCCTCCTAACTTACTTTTAAATGGGATTCATTTTGCATATTCTACCATGTCTCCTTGTCATGTAAGGAGTTATTTCAATGTGCAGATTTGGAACTATTCCCTCTAATATTTTCATATTTAGATTAATATAATTGTCTAGCCTGCAACTCAGCTTAGGTGATCTATTGAATGGATTAAAGTACTAAATGTTTTCTTCAACTTCTTCATCCTTGATTGGAGTTGTTAACGTACAACTTTATTCCACCCTAGGAAATACTGTTTTTAAAAAGCATCGTAATTTATCTGACGTCTTATTTCTAAGGTTCTTTTTATCCAGACTTGTAATTTTTGTTGCAGTTGTGGCAATTTGTTTTAAGTACAGTATAAGACCTTTTAAAATGATTTTAGACATGTAATGTACTAACTAGAGCAGACTAATTTAATATATTTTGTGTCTTCCAGGATGATACTGGAAATGGGGCGGTTATTCTCAGTGGAAGCAGAGGCACATTCTCCAACTCCACACATGATGGAAAAGACAAAACTGATATAACGGATATCAATTTCATGAATGCCTTTGTGTCTTCACTGAGCATGATCGTAGTAACCGAGTTAGGAGACAAAACTTTCTTCATTGCTGCTATCATGGCAATGAACCATCCCAGAGTGGCAGTGTTTGCCGGTGCTATGTTTGCCCTCACCTTCATGCACATCTTATCGTGTAAGCTCTTGTTGATTACCAGAAGTATTTTTCTCCTGTTAGTTGATTCAAGGACTTTTAAGTGTGCATGAGTTAAGATTTTCAAGAACAATTTTAATGGTACTCTTATTATATACTTGGTACTCTGTGATGTAAATGTGACTCCATCAAGGTTGGGAAATAGGAGACCAATTTTTTTTAGGATTTATAAATAACAGTATGAACCTTGTGGCAGCCAAGATATCCAAATTCTTTTTAACAGAATTGTTGCTTATATTTGTCTACTATTCCAGGTAATTTGTATGTAAAAATATAATTCCTGTCATTGGGCTGGACATCTTTTGCCACAAGAACATCATGCTGTTGAAAATCTAATTATTAATGTTTGTTCATTTTAGTACAGAGTTCATTTTGTTTTCTGAATGTTATCTAAAATATTTAATTTCAGATTTTCACAAAATCTGTATTATATAAACCATTTGCCCCACACATAAAATAGTATGCATGTATGGAGATCCTAGACCATGCTCAAGTAGATTGTGTTTCTCAAGTCTATTTAGTATTTCCAGTTTAGTTCCTTCTTTTGATAATTACTTCTTTTCCAGATATTTTGTCACCTTTAGCTTTTAAAAGAGCACTTTAAATATTTCTAACAGTCTGGGCTACATTTGGGTTACACAGATTAGCAGCCACGTTATTTGCAGACTTATAGTCTGATGTTTACAAATATACAAACTCATTTCAGATATGCTAAATATTTATTGATTACATGCATTTAGGAATGCTTGAATTTGTTTGGTGAATTATTATATATTTTTTCATCAATCTATGGAGTTCTTAGCCTACTGGGATCACGAGCCAGAACCTGGCCCCCCCTCAGAGAAGCACGAGGAGCAATAGCCTATAGACACCCCCCATGTAGTTGGAAGCAGTCTGTCTGCCATCTACCAGGTCAGGCACCCAGAAAGGTAGGAATCCCAAAACAAACTACAGTTTGTTAAAAATTGCAAACCGAAAGCCGAACAAACAAGCAGAACTCCCCAATCAGAAAACAAGCAAAGAAGCATGACATTTCCACAGCTGCTGTGCCACTGTCTGCGCAGCTCTCCCCCTTCCCAGGAGTGGAAAGAGCGTGGCCCCAGACCTCCCGTGCAGGTTAACCAACCCTCGGTTCTAAGGCTGTTGTGTTGGGTGGAGGTCGATCAACTCTGGCTCCAATCCTTGAGTAGTGCTGTGCCTTGTGGTGTTGTGCTGCGTTGTGGTGGTGTGCTAGCCAGGTGTAATTCCAGAAGTCCCGGGTCCTGACGTGGAGGATCCCGTGGCTGGGGAGGAGTTGACTTGGAGGGCTTGGGGCCCCGTTTGACCCTGCTTGGGTGTTGGTACCCTCAGCGTGGGGGCTTGTTGTTACAGGGGGAGGGATTTTCATATCCTCCCTCCCCTGGTTCGGTTCCGGGTTCCCTTAGGTTCCTCTGTTCCCTCTGTTCCCTCTTTCCGGAGGTTTTCGGCTTTCGGCAAGCATTGGAAAGGTCCTATTAAAAATTAATAAAAGCCAAGAGACTGGCAAGTGATCATCAGTGAAAGGAGACAAGTTTGCCTCTCACATCTTCGTACTGCGAAGAGAACAATTTAGTTTACTCCCTGTACCTTGCTGTAGCTGTAATTACATTAATAAGCTATGGGCTTGTAGAGCATGTCATTTTGAAAAATTTTTCTGGATATAAATATAGACACAATAGGCATGATCTTCAGTGCAATAGTTGTGTCTAACAATATTCGCTTACATAGAATACGTTTACAATAAATTGACTGAAACAACCACCCAACCTGCACATGAAAGTATTGTAAATGGAAGTGATGATGTTTTTGGTCTATCCTAGAACCTTTTCACAAAGGTCTAGGAAGGACCAAAACATCATCACTTTTATTAATTTCTTGTGTGAGGTTTGGATTAGTACAGTAATAATTTTTTATGTTATAACTCTTTAGTCAAATTTTAGTGATAGATTTTTCTTGTTTTTACCAGCTTTGTTTGGCTACGTCATCACATGGATTCCCCGCATATATACTTTTTATGCTTCAAGTGCCCTTTTTGCTATATTTGGGTTAAAAATGCTGAGAGATGGCTGGAAAATGAAACCTGACGAAGGGCAAGAAGAGCTTGAGGAAGTCCAATCAGATTTACGCCGTAGAGAAGATAATGTAAGTACAGTATCTCATGGGGTGCTTAGGTAACCTTTACTTTCGCTAGTTTTCAAATTGTATATTGGAATTAAATTGTCTATTTTTTATTTGCACAATTTTTTCTCTCCAATCATATTTTTAGAATATTCAGTGAATCAATGTACAGTATGTAAAGATACTGTAGTATGTAAATCAGCTCTGTTATTCAGTAATGTATAATCTAAGGATACATTATATATTGTATGTTTGTGTGCACATAATTGTATTCACAGGTACTATATATGTACTGTATTCAGAAGACACCCAAGACCTCTGAATTCTCTCCAGTCACACAGATTAACATGGTGTAAAGCATTTGCCAAACTGGTTAAATACACGCTTTCAAAATCTGGCCGTCGTGTACAGAGGCACTCGTAATGTACTTCTTCAGCAGGTTGCTGTTTCTGAGGAAGCCTTGGAGGCAACAAATGATTGGGGAAAGTATTGCCTGTTAGTGTGTATGACACTACTATAACACTAGTGTAATTTAAAATAGGTAAAAGAGCAAAAAATTCTTGGCATCAACCATCTACTCTGTATAGGTTATGTTCTCTAAGTGTGGAATTTAAATTGCATACACTTGTAGCAGTATTAAAAACAATTTCTATAAATTAAAATGGGTTAATATACAGTGCAGTATGCAGTTTTTAACCGAGGGTGGACTGTAAACTCAATTCACACATATAGTTGCCTTTTTCTGTTGAGATCCCCTTCGCCTCCCTGGAGGTATATTGGGCTGATGCGTATATATTGGTATGTGGCTGCTTCGGTACGTGGAAGACCCCAGGGGCCTTGCGTCGGCTGCTGTGTCACCAGCTTCCTCTTTGGGCTTTTGGGGGTTCTGTGCCGTGGCGCCTACCCGAGCCCTCGCTCGGTGTGTTCACGGATGCCGCGTTGCTCAGCTGGGGCTTTGTGACCAATGCTCACCAGGCTGGCTAGGGTCGGTGGGGTCCGTCCTTCTGTCAGGGCTCACAGCACGGTGCGAGAGTTCGCGGCAGTGTGGCGTTTGCTTCCGAGGGTTAGTCGCTTGCGGATCGACGATCCGTGTCCATTCGGACTGCTCCCGTGGTTCATTGTCTGAACAGTGGGAGTTCAATGCAGTCCTTGGCTCTTTGGGTCTGGTCACTTCAGGTGACTCATCTGCTGAGCTCTCAGAGTTTGACTCTATTGGTGGTTCGTGTCCAGGGGGTGTTCAATGTACTGGTGGACAGCCTGTTCCATTTCATTCCCCTATTCATGGAATGGACGGTCGATGCCGACTCGTCCCATTGGCTTTGCCGGATCTTCGAGTGTCTGCACTTGAACATCCAAGTTGAGCCGAGTGCCCTCAGCTTGGCCTTGGCATCTTCCGGTATATGTGGCGCCGTTGTTGCTCCAGGTCCTGGCTCGCTTGGGGACTTACCAGGGAAGAGTAGTCCTGTTGGCTCTTTGGTGGCCGGCCCAGCCCTGGTTTCAGGCGCTGCTTGCTCGGTGTTCAAACCCGAGGGTCTTCCTGCGGCTTCCCCTCTATCAGCAGATCGGTCCAGTCCGGTACGTGGATGGTTCGATCGGTCTTCTTCGCACTTCGCATCTGGTCTTTTTGACACAGGTTTATCACCACTTGTATGGTGAGCAGGTGGCTTCATTGATGGTGTTCTACCTGCAAGTTTTGTCTTGGCGGCAGTATGAAGTTTCCTGTCAGTCCTTTCGGGACTTTTTGTCTCTTTGTAGGTTGTCTTCGATTTCTGATTGGGTTGTTTTGTCCTTTTTCTCTTGGTTATTTCAGGACTGTCATCTTATGCCGAATACTGTCACTTCATATCGTGCGGTGCTGGTGGAGCTGCTTCAGCTTGCGTTCAGGGTGGGTGTCACTTCTGCTCCGTTCCACAAGCTTTCTCGAGCAATGTTTCACCTCCGGCCTGCTCATGCACTGCCTGAGCCGTCCTGGTCTTTAGACCGTGTGCTCTCTCTTCTCGATTTGTGGTGGCCCCTTTGGTTCAGGACTGTTTTTCTGAAGCTTTTTTTTTTTTTTTGGCATTTACCTCTGGGGGTTGGGTTGGATCGGGGAGCTTCATGCTCTCCAACGGCGTAGGGGTTTCTGCTCTTTCGGTCCTGGTGGTCGGTTTGTTCGTTTGCAGCCATCTCCTTTTTTGGGGAAGAATGAGACTGCTGCTTTCCAGAGGTCCTTGGGTTGTTGATGCTTGGTTGGTTTGGCCGGGGGTGCATCATGTTTTGTGTCCCGTTGTGGCTCTTTGCCGTTACTTGCGCGCCACGGCCTCTGTGGCAGGGGACGCACTTTGGGTTACCCTGGTTTCTCTTCTTCCCTGTTCCAGGGCACGGGTCTCCAAGGTTATCTGCAGGATTATTCGGTCCATCCAGCCTGCGATCTATCCCCGTGCCCACGACGTTCGTAAGTTTGTGGCTTTGGCTGCTGTTTTTGGTAATATGTCCTGGGCTGACATTCGGGCATGGGGCTTTTGGAGGTCGAACAGGGTCCTGGCCGCACGGTACCTCGTTAATGTTCCTGGCCCTTCTCGGGCATGTGTAGCCTTGGGTCACAGGTTGCAGCCAGTTGTCTCGACTTCGAGTTGAGGAGCGAGTGGCGGCTGCCTCCCGGGTAAGTCCCTCTTTTCCTTTATCTTTGGTTAGGTAGCTCCTGGGAGCTGAAGGGGCTCTCCACAGAAAACCAGTGTTGAATGTAATGAAACGCCATTTTCTGGGTGAGACCTGGAGGCTCCCTGGCATCCCTCCCTCCCTCTGGTCGGCATTTTTTCGCATTTTTTATATTCAGCCTCTGAACTGGGGTTGGGTAGCTGGTGCGTGAGGTCTGGGACCCCCCCTTCCCCCTCCCGGGGAGTAGGGAGTTGCGCAGACAGCAGCACAGCTGCTGTGGTGATGTTATGCTTGTTTGCTTGTTTTCGATTGGGGAGTTCTGCTTGCTAGTTCGGCTTTCAGTTTGCAATTTTTAACCAGCTGTAGTTTGTTTTGGATTCCTACCTTTCTGGGTGCCTGACCTGGTAGATGGCAGACATAGACTGCTTCCAACTACATGGGGGTGTCTATAGGCCATTGCTCCTCATGCCTCTCTGAGGGGGCCAGGTTCTGGCTCGTGGTCCCCGGTAGGCCTAGAACTCCATCGATTGACTGTTGCCACAGTCTAATATATACACATCAGCCTGGTATAGCTCCGGGGAGCCTCTGGGTCTCACCCAGAAAATGGAGTTTCATTACATTCAACTGAGTTGGCAGTATGAATCCTCCACCAAAGTTTTACGTACATGGCAGTGCACTTGTTTGTAATGATGGTGTTACACGTGGGGACGGTCAGATTTTGAAACCCTTATGTGTAAAATGAGTTGCATTAATCTTAATGCGTGATAAATGGCAAAAATAATGAAAAACCAGCTGTTGGTTCATAAAATAGGACTGCAATCTTTAACAGAATAATGCTTATACTCGCATAGTCTTTCATATTATAGATCTAATACCCTGTTGATACAGTGCAGAACGACAAGTGCAACCATAAAGGGACATAACCTTCTCGTCAGGTTTCTAACGTTCTCCCGTAATATCGACGGCATTAGAGATGTTCATTTTCATCTTTTGAATTTTTATGGAGATTTTGATGAGCTCCTAAACTCCAGGTAGGCGATGAACTGCGTGTCATGCACATAAAATGGCATGGAGTTACAAGCTGGCATCTGCCCCTACCTTTGTGAAGCAGCTGCAGGTCGGGAGTGTTCACATGACCCACCTTGTGCACGATGCATGCTGGATTTGCCCAGGGGCACAATGAGGACTTTAGGTGAGATGTCATCTATTAAATGACAATAACAATTCGGTAGGAGTGCAATGGATAGTTCATGAACCACAGATACAATGCTGTATGTTAAATAGTATCTATATATATAGTTTGCACTTGTATGTGTGCACACATATATGCACACTTAAAATCAAACACATTCTCCCACTTTATTTCTCTTATATTGATTTTTAAAAAAAAATCTTATTAAAATTGTTTAATTACATGTACAAAAACTGGAACTTCTAGCTTTCCAAAGTTGTAATTTACGTAGTCCTCCATTACCATACTAAAAATTGCTACATATTCTTAGGTCCAATAGCATTGAATAGATTGCGAGCCAGGATTTCAAGAGTAGCCTCCTGAAAGGATATTGCAAGTGATACTGAACTGATAGTCATTTAATTGGGTGTGCATAATGAGTGGTGCCTCAGGAATCCATTTTCAGCCCACCCTCTTCATAATCTATAAAAATTACTAGAAACAAGCTAAGTCTAAAAAAATGCCAAAATATACAGATAAAAACCAGGAAACATAATTGAAACTTAAAGATACTGAAGAATTTGTATATGCTCAAGCATGAACTTTTCAAGATCGACATTTTGACTGAGAAATTGTATGAAATTGTAGGGGTGTATATTTAATACAAATGTGGAAGGATAAATTTCCAGCTGATGTCATAATGGTGCAAATTTAGCATAGGCCTCTTGAGAATTTGCTGGATAGGTATTTTGGAACTACTGTATAATATTCATGTGAAGTAAAGCCATATTTAAGCTTCACAACTTATGGCAGTGTGTTATAAGGAGGTGGTGGCAGTAGTAGAAATTATTCTTGTAATTTTGTTCTTAACATCAACACCGACTGTTGTCATAGCACTATTATTAATGGTTATAGCACATGCTAATTATTCTTCTTTTCCATTTTCTCTATATCCTTGTTTCTCTTTCTGTATACATCTGTGTGTTTTCTGTCTGATTCATCTCCCATTTTCATCACCTTTCATTTGATTGCATTGAAATCCAATAGCTATTTCTCAGATCAACTCTGCACCTAGTCGATGTCATCATGGAGAATTTTAGTCTATCTGTTTCAGCTCTTATTAATTTTGCATCGTCTACAAACATCGAACTGTAAGACTCTAGCCTCATAGTCAGTCATTAACATAGAGGAGAAATAATATGGGTCCTATGAATAGATCCACAAGATCTGTGATGAGGGTTCGAACTTATGTCCAGAATGATCCCAGATGTGCCATAATCGACTGAGCCACAACATGGTAAAAGAATTGCAACCGGGATTGCTACTGCTCACGCACGGATCCTGCAGTCTCTCCGAGACACAAACTGGGGTTTTACTCAATTCTCCCATGCATTCGGGCTCTGTCAACAAGCTATTCTACCTCTTTGCCCTTACTTCAATACACACAGAAATCACAATAGCATGATATTTCAAATGAATAAATCCACAAGGGCCATGATGAGGGTTTGAACTTATGTCCAGGATGATCCCAGACGCGCCTTAATCGACTGAGCCACGACATGGTAAACGAATTGCAACCGGGATTGCCACTCACACACGGATCTTACAGAGAGACAAACCGGGAGTTTTACACAATTCCCCATGCACTCAGGCTCTGTCAACAAGCTATACGAACCCTCGTCACGGCCCTTGTGGAGTTATTCATTTGATATATCATGCTATTGTAATTTCTGTGTGTATTGAAGTAAGAGCGAAGAGCTAGAATAGCTCATTGACAGAGCCTGAGTGCATGGGGACATTATGTAAAACCCCAATTTGTGTTTCGGAGAGACTGCGGGATGCGTGTGAGAGCAGTAGCAATCCCAGTTGCAATTCTTTTACCATGGCATGGCTCAGTTGATTAAGTTGCATCTGGGATCATCCTGGACGTAAGTTTGAACCCTCATCACAGCCTTTGTAGATTTATTCATTTGATATATCACGCTCTTGTGATTTCTGTGTGTAATATGGGTTCTAGTACTTACTGATTTTTGAGGGACTCTGCTTATTACCCTCCACCAGTCTGACTTCTCGCCCCTCACTTTAACTGACTCCTGTCTGTTTGATACAATCTAGTCAAAGTCGGTGCTCTTTCACTGTCTAAGAATGACAGGAGTAGTGGAAAGGGAATAAGTGTGAGTGTATATATTTACTTAATTGTAGTTACAGAATGACATACACAGGTGGGGTTCTGTAGGTGTCAATAGTGTCATATGGTTTGGTTCCCTTGTTGGGGACAGGAAGCCTATTACGCTTAGTACGGACTCCCTAAGCTAATTATTGATCTTTGCATAAAGAAAGCACATTAACGTGATGTATCGAGGAGGAAATCAATAGGAGCCACGAGGAGGATTCGAACCTAGGCTCAGGGTACTCCCAAGCAAGCACCCTAGACCACTGTACCACGACATGGTAAAAGCATTGCAACCTGGGATTCAACTGAAATCTCTAGGGTTCCTGAGGCTTCCACTAAAGCCTAACTAGGGTTTCCCACAATGTCCCCCATGCACTCTGGCTTGTAGTCTAGGAATGCTACCTCCCATGCTTCTCTTCTAATGCACATGCACACTGATTTTCTTATTGATCTTTTCTGGGATGCAATCCACAACAGGTGCATATTTATTGTTAGGTGAACAGGAGCATTAGGTAAAAGAAACATTGTTAAAAACATCTGTTCTGCTATGGGAATTGAACCTGGGACCTGTTGGCTGTAAGTTGAATGTGCTGGCCATTGCATTACAGGACATAAAATGGTAATTGTATACATTACCCTTATGTTTAAATTATTCCATCAGTCTACCATTCTGTTAAAGAGAACTTACATATATATTTTTTGGGCACTTTTGTGGATTTTGGCTTAACCCTTAAAATGTGGTTATCATCATATGTTGATTCATGGGGTAATACAGTTATCGCGGGGTAATGTGATTATCATTTGCTGATTTAAACGTTTATTGTATGTGTTTCCACCAAAGATGCTATTATGGATATAATAGCTGTATATGGAGGTAGTAGTATTTACATTGACCCATGGAAAAAATACTATAATTTTATGATTACCTTGTTATGCAAATGTGGTTATCATCTCAACAAAATGTGCCAATGTGGTAGTTTTCATGATATAAAGTTTCATTATAATTGCAAGATATATACTGTATATGGATTATATTGATATGGTTTTCACGACTATATATGGTTGTAATGAAGTACTCCAGGTCAACCAATCATTTGAAAAAAATAAAAGAATTGAACAATCCTATTGGCCCTTATGAGACAGCTTCTATTTATGTCTACCCAGTCTCATTCATATATAGGTCTATTGGCCTATATAAGGCAGCTCTTATTTATTTCCGTGATACCAATTGGAGCTGCCTATTATGGACCAGTAGAGCCACACATGAATTAGTTTGAGTGGAAATAAATAGGAGACAGCTACTATATGTCATTTGTATACATAGGATCTGCCTCATATGGGCCAACAGACCTTATGCAGTTCCTAGTTTTTTATTCATATATACATACATTTAAAGTCATTGATACATTCATTCATTGGTACATGCATTCACACATACAATCATCTAGACATGAGAGGTCAACATTGAGTGTGTGTAGCTGTGGCTGTGTGTGTGTTGCTGACACAGCTCTGGCATTGAGAGATGGGGCTGGGCTGCCACATGCTGCCATCCACTCAATTTGTTCAGTGCACAAAACAGGTACAATGTAGATATTCAGTTTATTTCCACTTTTCTGTACATTTTGCATCCAAATTAGTCATTCTATAAGGATTTTTTGTCTTATTGGCAGACAATTTTAAAGTAATTGTCATATGTTAAGGGTTAAATCTTTAGCCTCTTCTTCTGGATGTTGGGGATAAAAAAAAAAACTCCTTATGAGATTTATTGATTCTCGTGTAGTTTTCAATATGGTGATCTGTGCAATAGTTTTGCCATAAGACTCCTCCAGTCTCTACAAAGACTCCTCCAGTCTCTACAAAGACTCCTCCAGTCTCTACAAAGACTCCTCCAGTCTCTACAAAGACTCCTCCAGTCTCTACAAAGTTTTGGGTTTTAGGTCCATGTGTCTTGTAATAATACCTTGTGTACCTTGTTTATTAATGTGCTTTTTGAGATATGAGTTCTACTGTATACAACTGCAGCCTTAATTCTAATTTTGGTCTGGTATGTGCTCTTGTTTTTCGTTCTTACTATGAACGTGGTGTTAAATTTCTGTGTCCACCAAAATGAGTCATTGATTGTCGATTAACAAAGAGCACAGGTACAAATAGTTATTTATAACTAAATGTATCTCATATATACAGTATGGTGATAAATGTGTAATTTTAATTTGAAGTTTTGCATGTGTGTGCCTTATTATTAATAATTTAAATATATGGAGGAAATACAGTTGGAGTTTTAAGAAGAGCAAGTTACGAGGTATTTGCAAATAATGGATTATACAGTGTTCTGCTGTTCATTGGGGTTGATTGAAATCAGATCTCGGCTATTATATACGTGTTCTTGCATATAGTTTGATACAAAATCCCATGGAAAAAGTTATTTAATTAAACAAAATTAATCTTTGTTAAATTTTGCTACATTCATTGGAAGTAGAAATTCAAACAATCCAAATTGCCTCATTTATGGATACTTAGCTTCTTACACTGATCGTCACGAGTCACTGCTCAAATCACCGTAGGTGATTAATCCAGATGGGTTTACAATACTTTTTTTTCTCCCTGTGCACCATAATGTAGGACTTTTAAATAGCTTAGCAGTTTAAGGGTTATGATATGTAACCTAATAAATTTCTTGCCATACATAATTGGATAAGATTTCATCCATTATATCTGATCCAGATAACGCAAATAGGAATTCCTAGGAGTTTACTATATAGAGTTGTGAAGGCATAAATACAGGGGGTTTCATGTGGATCACTGTAAAGACAACTGGTAATAAAACATGATAGAGGATTTTTTTTTGTTCAATATTGCATGGATTTAACCTGTTGAAAATTTCTTTCTCTTCTTTCCAATGTCATACTGGATGTGGTTTTTATATAATCGCTTTGAAAACTTGCATCAGACATTATTTCTGAGTGCATGGAGGCTATCAATCCATGTAGATTTTCCTAATTGTTTTTTTAATTGCCTTAATATAGATTTGATTTTTTGTTTCCTGTTCTGTGCATTTCCGTGAATTTCATGTTTAACTGTGTGTTATGCAAATGCTGGGAGAAAACTTTGAATGTGGAAAATGTCTGGTCTCTAGCATTTTTGCCTGAATGTGGAATGTCTGGTTTTTAACATTTCTCCCTGAATGTGAAGATATGTATGGTTTCTAGTATTTCTGCCTGAATGTGGAGATTTGAATGGTTTCTAGCATTTCTACCTGAATGTGGAATGTCTGGTTTTTAACATTTCTGCCTGAATGTGGAGATATGTATGGTTTCTACCAATTCTGTCTGAATGTGCAGATATGTATGGTTTCTAGCATTTCTGCCTGTATATGGAAAATGTCTGGTATCTAGCATTTCTGCCTGACTGGAGATTTATCTGGCTCCAGCAGTTTGCAAACAGTTTTTGCGAAATAAGTTTTGTAATGACATTTGTGGTCTAGATTTGTTTACCATCTAATAATTAATAATCTTCAAAACTGTTTTCTTTATAGTGTTCACTTATTTCTCCCCAGTATAGACGAGAGTCTGTAGATGAAGGCGCAGTAGCGGTAAGTTCACCTCGTAAGATATAATTTTGCATAGCATTTGTACGTCACTAACGAATGTTTGTTTCTAAAGTCCATCCTGATTTTCATGAATTTATATTTACCTCACTAATAGCAGATTTTTATTTTGTTTGCAAGAAATTTTAACAAGATAATGTACTTAAACAGATTAAATTATCTTAACTAATTAAGCACCAGTACACATTTTTTGTTTAATCTGTTTTTCATGGAATTAGCTTTAGACATGAGAAAGCTAAATTGGCATGTGGCACTATCTGTTAGTTGTTCCAAGCTTATTTTTTTTTGTTGTGGGGTATAACAAAATATGTGCACATTTAACAGGTTAACTTGTATCTTTTTTTCTGGCAATTTTATAAGAGTATCTACAATTTTAATGTTTTTTGTTTTTATTTTTTCTAATTTTATACTTTAGAATGTTAACTATCTAGCTTTTGGAAGTGATTCTTTCAAATATGCACCAAGCTTATGCCAGGGCTTTGCTACCCTTGTCACCCCACCAGGGCTCTATCTCGGCTTTTCGCGTCTATTTTTGATCGTCTTGCATCCCAACACTTTGTACAACATTTTTACTGGTGGTACATGGCAACTGATCAATTATTTGTTAGCTAATTGTTAAGATCAATATCTATAGTAACTGATACATAGATGATGTGCCAGATGTACTACCAAATGCAGTATGATAAAAAAGAAACTGGCATAACATTGTTGACTCCCAAGGCAAGATCCAAGTGCTATATAGTCATCATGGCTTGGCACTTTCACCTGATAATTCCCTCCCAAGGCAAGATTACTATATTTTGTTGGATAGTATCGTAAGTGAGGGCAGTGTTATATTTTGGAATATTGTAAAGGGTGGAAGAGGCTTTTAGCATTAGTACACAGTTAAATCATACAGTGTACCTTATCTTGAGGTTACCTTGAGGTGATTTCGGGGCTCAGCGGCCCCGTGGCCCGGTCGTCGACCAGGCCTCCTCATTGCTGGACTAGTCAACCAGGCTGTTGGACACGGCTGCTCGCAGCCTGACGTATGAGTGACAGCCTGGTTGATCAGGTATCCTTTGGAGGTGTTTGTCAAGTTCTCTCTTGAACACTGTGAGTGGTCAGCCAGTTATGCCCCTTATGTGTAGTGGAAGCGTGTTGAACATTTTCGGGCCTCTGATGTTGATAGAGTTCTCTCTGAGTACCTGTACTAGTGTACAATATGATCCAACAGTCCGGCTCAATGTGACTTCAGAAAGTTAGTTCACAAATCTTCAAAGTCTTTCTAAGCCCTACTTAGCATCACAAAGGCCAAGTAGTGCTTTGATTAAACAACAGTAGGTCTCCAACCTGTCTGCATTCCTGACCACTACAAGAGGACATTACCGTGGGGAAATCACAATTTCCCCAGCCAAATCATATCTAATTCTGGCTGATACAATTCTAAAACTTGATGCAGGATGTTAAATTAAAAACTCACAGGACACTGGGGACCTTGACCAGCCCAAGTCAACCCCGGTTGACCTGGGCTTCCACGTGGTGGCAGTCAGGCTCATCATGATTAGAGTGTTTATATAGTGGCAGTGATATTTTTTCTGTTACCTGCTGATATCTAATTTTCTAAAAGCAGTTGTCTTGATTTGTTACACTTATGCTTTCTTGTGGGATTTTTCTGTTTTGAGTTAATCTTTGATTTCCAAGTGTTCCTCAACTCATAGAGAGCCAGACTGGTCCTAGCTCCTGATTGGCAAGGGTGGAATCCGGAGGCCTAGTGCATCTTCCTAATGCTTGGCTGGACCAGTGCTTAGCCTGGGGAGCTATTGAGGGTCCTACCAGAAAAGGGCATTTCATTACATTTATTATATTTTAGCTCTCATTCCTTCTTATGAATAAATTATGAAGTCCTAGGATTAGAAAATGATGCTATTATGCACTATTGGCTTTTTATCATGGAAAAATTCCTAAATAATTGCTGAAAAGAAGTGTGCCGGTGGTTGACCCCAATGTCCATACATAACCACTTTTTACCACAACCATCACCTCCAGTAATTAGACCTCTTTATTCTTCAAAAGGCATCAAATCAGAGAGGCAGGGCAGCTAAATCTGTCAAGATACATTAAGGATAGTTTTTTTATCCAAAAGATTTGGGTTTTATTTATTGATTTTTGGTGGTTCAAAGACATCCCCTATATATTTACAGTAGTATTGTACTGCGCCAATGGAAAATCTGGTTCCGCCTTGCAAATGGCCGCCCAACCACTTTGGCTGGATGATAGAGCGACTGTCTTGCATCGTCCAGGTTGGCGTTCACTCCCTAACTGTACAAGGGGTTGGACACCATTACTTTCCCCGTCCCACCCCAAATTGTTATCTTGTCTCTCTTCCAAGTGCGATATAGTCATAATTGCTTAGTGCTTTCCCCTGATAATTTCCTCCCTCCCTCCCCCCTTACAAATGGAAAACTTACGAGCGCATTTTTGGAACTTGTCTCGTTTTAAAAGCTGCAGATTGCTAGCAATGCCCTATTTATTTTAGATTTGGAGTGTTACAATTATTTATAAACTTGTGTTAAATCTTACACCTTTGGTGTACAAGATGCAGGGTATTTTCAGAAAATATTGGTACTACAGATCTCTAAATAACATGCCTTGAATTGAGAGTGTGAGGGTGTGTATTCACCTAATTGTGTTTGCGGGGGTTGAGCTTTGCTCTTTTGGCCCGCCTCTCAACTGTCAATTAACTGTTTCTAACTACTACTACTATTTCTTTTCTCCACACCACACTCACACCCCAGGAAGCAGCCCGTGACAGCTGACAATACTGGTTTGGTAGCATGGATGAACGCTTAGATACATGTTAGTTCATGCTCTGTGTTGTTTCCCCTTGTTTCCTACAAAATGGATTTCATTTATTCCTATACTCAATAAACAAACCTTGGCCGAACACTAAATATTAAGCTTCTAGATAAGTAAGGGGAATAAATAGGGCCTTCTGAATATTAATGGAGTTACATTATTGATGTGTATAAATGGAGAAAAATGGGATATTAATTTGGGAATAGACCTACTGAAATTCATCTTATAGCGACAGTTGGTGTTCTGGTTAACATAGATAGCAAGTAAATAGGAGATTTAAAATAGAAGAGGGATGACGTTATTATACATTCAGTTTCAGGGTCACTGGGGCAACGCAAAACACACGACTCATAGACCAGCTTTTTAATCCCCTTGAGTGAAATGCTAAGACCAGGAGACGAACAATCCCTCGCCGAAGTAATGAATCACCCCTGTTCCGTAGACCGGCTTTTTAGTCCCTGTGAATGAAATGGCTGGGCCCAGAAGGCTAGCAATCGTTCGCTGGAGTAACGAATCACATATGCTCCGTAGATCGGCTTTTTAATCCTCGTGAATGAAATGGCTGGATCCCGAAGGCCAGCAATCCTTCGCTGGGGTAACGTATCACCTATGCTCCGTAAACCAGCTTGGGAAAAAATTCGAAAACACCCCTGCTCCATAGATCGACTTTTCAATCCCTCTGAATGAAATGGCTGGACTCAGACGGCCAGCAATCCCTCGCTAGGGTAACGAATCACCCATGCTCCGTAAACCAGCTTTTTAATCCCCTTGTGCGAAATGGCTGGACCTAGAAGGCTAGCAATCTCTCGTTGTGGAGACGAGAAATACACGGGCCATAGGACGACTTTTTAATCCCTTTGAACGTTCCTGTGAAGGGTCACTGAGGGTTAGCTGGTGACGTCATTGACCATTAGCTCTGTCTGTGCAAGGGTCAGCGGGGTAACGAAAAATACTCGACACGTAGAGGCGCCGTCGAAAAAAGCAAAACGGCGCCTCTACGTGTTGTTTCCCACTACCCACTACAAACGTTTCCCACTACCACTACAAACCAGTATCCTGCCTGCTGCTCCAACTTTTGTAACAGCCTTTTGTGAGGTACTGTGTCAAAGGCTTTCTGACAGTCCAAGAAAATGCAGTCTGCCCACCCTTATCTTTCCTGCCTAATTTGTGTTGCTTGGTCATAGAATTCTATTAGGCCTGTGAGGCACGATTTACCATCTCTGAACCCATGCTGGTGGTTTGTTACAAAGCTGTTTCCCTCCAGATGCTCTATGAGCCTTTTCCTCACAATCTTCTCCATCACCTTGCATGGTATACAAGTTAGGGAAACTGGCCTGTAGTTCAGTGCCTCTTGCCTGTCACCCTTTTTGTAAATTGGGACTACATTAGCTGTCTTCCAGCTTTCCGGAAGGTCTCCCGTTTCCAGAGACCTGTTATACACCATAGAGAGTGGCACACACTTAGTGCTTCTACAGCTTCTTTTAGAATCCACGATGAGATTCTGTCAGGCCCAACAGCCTTTGACACATTCAGCTTCAACAGATTCCTTTTGACCTCATCACTGGTGAGGTAAATTTCCTCCAAAGGTTGCACGGTTTGCCTCCTCATTTAGTGCAGGGACCTCTCCTTGTACTATTGTGAAGACCTCCTGGAATCTCTTGTTGAGTTCTTCACCTCTTCACCTCTTTGTCGTTCACACACCTAGATAAGGGAGTATCTAAGATGGAGGACTTGGAGTGAGTGAGCGAGTGAGTGAGTACATGAGTGAGTGAGAGTACTTATTTTATGCAGTGCAACCAAGGTGTTAAAACTGCATTTACATATGTTGATAGACTGTTTCCATTATTTGCCCAGGGCAGTAGAGCTTGATGGTCTTGGTCCATACACTACTGTTTATAGAAAGGAAGATAGGAATTAATAGAACTGTACTGTAATAGATGAATTTATTTCTTTTTGACAACACCTCTGCCAATTTGGATTTTGTACAGTGTGCTGGTGCATTTATATAACAGTCAGTAGCTCTTCTGATAAACGAAATGTGACAGATATTAAGGCAAATTAAAAATTCAGGCAGGACTGAAGAACTTCAAAACTACCAAATAAAATATTACCCAAGATATTTATGAATTCTTTTAACTATTACTGCT